TTTTTTTTTTTTTTTTTTATATGTGCTCCATCTATTGGTGGGACGCTTGTAGTGCTCCTTCATGCCGACTACTCTTCCGATGACCGGGTCTCTCATATCATCCAACCATTAGCATTCCTACTGCTCCTTCATGCTGATTACTCTTCCGATGATGACTACAATCGACTAACATTCCCACCACTGACGATGGCACTCACACTGCCCTCGTAGTGCCGCTGTTGGTAATCAAAATGTCGCATCACAGGTCATATTCTTGCTAAATGGAAGACCCTTTTTTTTTTTTTTTTTTTTTTTTTAATGGAAGACCTACGTTATGTTTTCCAAAAACTTTTTTTATCTACCCCACATTGCCCACAAGCACTAAGAAGAATAAGCAGTAGGGTTATCCTCTCATCAACACTGTCCAAAACACTGTAAAGAGCCTTTGTTGCCTAGACGGGTCTCCCACCACGCACCCGATGGATACAACTGTAGTTTGCTCTTCACCGGGTCTCTCATATCGCCCAACCATTAGTGTTCCCATTGCTCCTTCATGCTAACTACTTCTTATAATGACTACAAAGAAAACCAACTCGCCAAAAGGCAAAGATACCTAACACAAACAAGGAGAAAAAAACACAGGTCTACTCCCGTGCATCGCATGTAATGTCTACCAACCCGAATTCCAGAAGATTGATTATCCCTCTCTCTCAATCCTACGCTGCTGCGGCAATACGCGTTTCTACAAAACGAAACACTAAGAACAAGCCACGCGCCAGAACAGAGACGGTACAATTTTTTTTTTTTTTTTTTTTTTTTTTTTGATGGACAATTTGCTCCAATCTATTCGTGGGGAGCAGCACGATTCCCTGCTGTATACACGATTCCTCTGCAGAACGAAATCTGATTTGCTGCTTTGACTGGGCCTCTTCGCAGCTGTATACTCGATTCCACCTTTTGGCCGATTCCCTAGTCGTGAAGTTCTACTATTCAGGCGGCCGCAAGACTATTAGTTTGGCACCTTTTTCAAAGGACATCCCAGTGCTCATTTTTGAACCGCTGGGACAGGGCCTGGATCTGATGCCGCCTTTTTTCTGAATACTAGTCAGTCGAGTGTTACGAGCTCTGATCTTTTGCTTTATTTGGTTTCCTCACGTTCTCGTTGGTCTTTCACTACGGGGCTTTCTGCCGACGAAGTTCTCAGGGCGCCAACCGGTTGGTGACCTCTGCCATCTCTTCGACAACCTCAGTTCGCGGAATTTTGACGTCGGGAGTATTCTCTTGCGCGGATGGGCTGCTTTTTGTCCCTTGTTCGCTTCTCCTTTTTCCTCCCTCCCGACCTCTTTTCCTCTTTGCTTCCTGCCTCTCTTCGTTCCTCATTTCTTCTCTGTCCAAGTTCTGGCACCGTTTCTCAACTATTTCTATTTTTCTCCCTGTCACATACGGTTTCTAGGACTTGTTACGATATGGCTTGGCTCCACGATCGCTCTCCATTTCTATCTTGGTTCTATGACTTTTGATCTATCTGCCCCAGGCTCCTCTGTCTCCCCTTTCTCTCTCCCATTCGCATTGCTGGAATACATAGGCATTGGAGTTGGATGGTTTGGCGAGAAGGGTGTTCTTAAGACGATTATGATTGTATTTAAGGATTCTCAGTCCTAGCCTTGGCACGCGATTCACGTCCCCTGATGATAGCGTCTCTGGCAGGCGCTTGAAACGATCGTAGGGACACCGCCAGTTTTTTGACACTGGTTCATCACGTTTTTTTAAAAAAGTGTCTGATTCGCGTACTCGTGTCCATGGCTTTCCGCCTTTACTTCGTGTCGTTCTCGTTTTTGTGCTTTTGTTTTACCTTGACTCTCTCTTGTGTACTCATCCGTTTCTCCTAGTCTCTCCTCTCCTGATCTTCCACCTTCCTCACTCCAATTTTTCTCCTCTCTCCTTATTCTCCTTCCTAATCCTCCACCTTTCTCCTCTCCTTTGTTCTTTCATTCGTAATGTCATTTCGGCCTTTACGCACGACTATGCGTTACCCTTCTTCATCAGTTGGAAGCGATTGTAACCACCTCGTTAGTCGTGGAATGGTGTAATCGCCATTGGTGATTGCTACCTCTCCCTTTAGGGATACGGTCCTTTCCCATCATTTAGTTCATATTGGTTGGGGTTTCATCGGTCGATTGTTTTCGCCCTGTTCTCTATTCTCAGATTGCTCGTCCCCCCAGCTTCAACTCTCCTTTGCACCTTGCCTTCTGTTTGCGTGTATGGAATCTTTGATCGCGTACCGTGTCCTTATTCTTACATTTAGTGGGGAACCGATCGTTATTGAATCCTCATTTTTTGGATGTTTTTCGTGCTTTGTCCGTAAACTTGTTCGTCGCCTCCCTTATCTACGTTCGTGCGGGGTGGTTAGTATTTTTGTTCATTCGTCCCTATCTCGAAGTCGGGGATATAGCCAATCAAGGCCAGTATCCTGCCGTCGATCGCTCCTGTTATAATTGTCATCAGTATGGGCACTTCCAGAGGAACTGTCCTTTACCCCAGGCACGACGGCCTCATCTCTGGCACTCCTGTGGGTAGATTTGGAGCAGGCTTGCCTTCCCATCCCCCACCTCACGTGGTCTATGCGCCTCCTACTCAAGCTGCTTATGCACCCTCGGCTCCTCCTTTAAGCCAAGCTCCAGTGAATCACCAGCAGGGTGGCATGCTTTCCACTCCTTCGACACCTGTTAATACATCTACGCTGGTTCCTTACCAGCCTCCGACGGCTCCGTCAACTTCTGTTGCGCCATGGGGTCCCAGACAAGGCTCCAATGACGGTGAAGTGGTGTCGTTGTTGCGGGAGTTAGTCAACGACCGGCGAGAGCAGAAGGATCGAAGAAGGGAAGCGGAGAATCGGCTGATGAGAGAAGAACAGGACAGGATGGCAAAGGAGGAAGAGAAGAAACGACTGCTAGAGGAGGAATCTCGCCAAGCGGAGAAAGAAGCTAGGATGGCCAGAATGATTAATGCCAAGATGGAGGAGTTAGATAGACAACATCAGGCGAGAACGGAGGAAGAGAATAAAAGAATGTGGAAGGAGATTGAGAAGGTGGTCGGTGATCCCATCAAGACCATGAAGGGGAAGGAAAACGCGGCTGATGTACCCGATTCTCGCAAGATGCAGCAAGCAAACCTGGAGGGGTCCCCTCCTGTTCTTCCTGCTCAAGAACGTGCTCGCCATGAAGACCCTCTGAAGGCTGTCTTCCCTAATTTGAGCCCGCTTGATGCTGGGCTCCTCCTTATGGAACTCGATAATGTCAAACGATCTCAGGATACTCAGGTCAGCTTGGTCAAGAGATGTATGGAGGTCCTGCAAAAGATTGAAACGAAGTTTGCTGCTGCTAGTTCTGATCTGCGTTCGTCCGCTGCTACGACTGCCCCTGAACCCTTCGCCACAACTACT